GATAGTTTCAGAGAGCCTTTTTAAGATCCACCTATTTTGCTTATGCACACACAAGTGTGCACTAAGAGGGTTCAGACAAGATAATTATTTTTATGTTCATTCTTTAGGCCCACGTATGTGCATCCTTGTACTGAAATCATGTGACCTGAGAACAAAAAGGGGGTTAAATATAAGATAAATGATGGAAGAACAAACCATTTCTGCTGTAGTGGATCAGTGGGCCATTTTCATGGGGGATTCCTGGGAGGGTAGGAACAGATTTACTGTGATTATTATGGTAGTGAGGAGGATATTGAACCTCACTGCTGTCAGTTCCGACTCTGTTCTTGCACATTCTAGAGCAGCTGCTTGGCATACGGCTCTCAGATTCTGAACCACTTTTATACATAAGCAGATCACCCGCTGAATTGCTCACATGCTGAACACAAATTATGGCAGGGAATTTGTTATTTAATTATGAGAGATTGGGAGAAAAAAGATGCTTTTCACATTATTTATAGGAAAATTGCGTTCAATAATTGCATGGATTTTTTTTTAAGCACTCATGAGTGTTGGCTAAAGAGAGGTTATTTAAAGTCATTCAGTGTAGGTGTTTGATAACCCAGTGACCCACATTACAAACAGGTATTTCCTGTGGGGTTTGATTGATGAGTCTAAGTATAGAAAAAAGTATGTGGAATGCACATGTGAGGCCATAATGCCAGATGGAGTTATGGCCCTTGACTTAATTATTCCCTGACTCTGTTGTGAGCTACACTAAGTGGCAAATACAAACTACAGATATAGAGTACTATGCATATTATTCTTATCCATGCACCTTGCATGACTGAGAATCATTAATTATTCACATCACTAATTGTGCTTTGCCATGAAGATCGTGCATGGATACTCCCATTCATATTTATACATAGCTTTACAATGTCAATAGGCTAATTTCAAGTTCACACAACCTGTCAGATCTTTTCTCATCAGTAAAATGCATACAAAGTACACAGACAATGAAGACTTCCTGTGAAAAATGACACATTCATATTTTATTTAACCTGAGCATTGCATGTTGCCTACATCTTTTTAAGAATATATTTGCTCATGTTAAACATCATCAGGCTTTAAGGTTACTTCTTTGCTTTGACCATCCATGAGTTTAACTAAAGTTTTCAGGGCAGAGGTCAGGCATAAAACACACACCCCTTCTTGCCCCATATATATTCCTTATTTGGTCCCCATAGTGCAGGCTCAATCAAATTTCATCTGTGATGTGTCCTTGGGTACCAGATGTGCAGTAATTTAAACACTTCACTCCTTGTCATTTTTAGACTAAATGGAGTAAGGACTCTCATTATGACTAAAAAATTTACAAACACTTCATTTTGAAAAATTTTTGGTCATCTGGCAGGAAATCTCTTTTTCTCTCTCCCCCCCCCCCCCCCCCCCCTTGTTTACAAGGTTTGTCTATCAGTTCGCCTGTCTGCAATCATGTTTTGGCCATAACTTTGAAATTGAGTAACATATAATTTAGCTCATACTTAATACAAAACTTATGTACGACCTGAGGGTATATCATGACATTGACCCGGGTCATTTTGGCAAGTTGAAGGTCACTGGCAGAAGAAGTGTAAATTGGTGTCTGAACCATAAATTTCTAAAGCAGAAAGATTGGAAGTTCTTATTTCACACAAAAATTACCTTTTGACCTGAGGGTTTTTCATGACTATGACTCAAAGTCATCTGATCAATTTCAAGGTCACTATCAGAAAAAAATTGCAATTCCTGTCTTGACCTGTCAATATCTTGACTCAAGGTCATTTGGCAAGTTCAATGTCATTGGCAAAAAAAAATGTCATTCTTGTCCTGGACACCTTAGAAACTCATTCTTGGCACAAAGATCCCTTTTGGGCAGAGGTCATTCAAGGACCTTGATCCAAAGCCATTTTGGCAAGTTCAAGGTCACTGGCAAAAAATATGTATAATCCAAAGCCTAGCCATATTTTTTTAAGAATGGAACATTGGATGCAGCTCTTTATAAAAAATTGCAATGATTTTATGATTTTATGTCAGTGTGCATGAGCTGACACTCACAGTGACTGTGCCATTAGTTAATGTATATTTTTATGTGTTTGAATGTGGCACATTTCAGCATGTACTGATAAGTACTGGCAGATCCAACATGCACTATTCTTTTCCACTGGTACCTAGTAAAGCAAATATGGTATATGTAATATCTATTCTCTTGGTCATACATGTATATCACAATATCATTCATACAGTAGGTGTCCTTTAGAAGAGATTTAGAAGACCCTATCAAAAGAAAACCTTATAAATTCCTTGTTGGTTCATATGTATTCTTTTGCTTGCATTTCACAAAAATGAGGGAGGTCCTTAAAGATATGATAGTCATACTATATATACACATATATATGGTTCTTTTTGTGCCCACAGCATTACAATGCAAACCTGTGCTACCAAATCAGTATCAAATTGCAAAATAATTTTTCTTGTACCTGGAAGAAAAAAAATTTACAAAGATTTTGACTGCCTCAGCCATTTTACAATACACAATATTTCCAGTACACCATAATGTATAAGCCATTCCTCAACTCTCTTACAGCTATGTTAAAGAAGGAAGATTTTCATCATGCCATGACAAAAGCTATTTTTTTTTATTGGAATCATACATGTTCTTTCATATTTTTAGTACTAAATAAGTAGGAAAATCAATTTTTTTTTCTCCCCTATTGATAATTTTACACATTGTAATTGGAGATAAAGCAAAGATGTCTACCACGTAATTGTTCTTAGATTTAAACTTGATTGTTTTGGATTTTTTAACAGCAAAAAAAGTATATATTTAGAAAATATATTGATTCATTAAATTGGAAGGGATGGAAGCCTGAGAAGTGTAGGTGTATGGGATTGTGTAAAATGTCAGTGCAAGGTGTACCTAAAGTTAGTCATTTTATATAACCAGAACAAAAACTGAAAATTTCATAAAGAGTAAACTTTTAAGGGAATTTTAACTACAGCTGTTTCCAATATTTTAGATATTAAGGACATACGCAACATACCTTACCTACTGATAATTTTTCAAGATCTTCTTAATTTAAGATTAAAATGCCATCAGATGTTCGTAGACAAAAAATCAGCATGTATTACCAGGGGTTTTGAAAAGATATCAATTGATGAAAATTCTTGTATAATTCAAAGAAAAATATACAAAAATTACTAAACATATATTCTAGATGTTTTGTTTATCCAAACTTGTTTTAGAAGAAGTGTACAACAGCATATATAGACATTAAAATGTAGCACACAGTTCCTTCAAGTATTGGAACTCTTCAACTCCATGGAAAAATTCAATAAAGTTCAAACTATGTTGTGTATGTCCTTAATGATTGTTTTTTTTTTGTCCCCAGCTTTCCCTAAGAGTGGAGGATATTCATTTTGTTCTGTTCTTCCATTCATCTATCATTCTTTCTGTCTGTAATACTGTAGTCTTTGGATGATATTCTAATAAAAGTCCTTCAGTTTTGCAATGAAATTCTATGACACCATATGACTTAAAAAAATCTATATTGATTTTGAGTTTTAAAAGTCAATGGGCAGGGTCAAATATTCATATAAAATGGTTTCCAGACCTATGATAACTTAATTAAGTTTCTGCAAGTTTTTAGTTGAGCTTTTGCAATGAAACTTAAGATGATGATTTTCTCTAACTTGAGAAAGACCCCTATTAATTTTGAGCCCAAAAGGTAAAGAGACAAGGTCACAAATTCATATATGGTATGGAATGGTACACTTAATTTTGGGATATCTCTAAAGGTCCTTTTGCTTTTGCATTGAAATTGTATATCATACAAACTATTGATTTTGAGGTAAAAGGGTCAAAGGGCAAGGTCAGAAATTCATATTTTGCATGGAATGGTTTCCAGATAATAACTTTAGTTCCCTTAATTTTTTTTCCCCAGGAAATTCAAGGTGAAATCTCTAACTTAAGAAAAATCCTGTTGATATTGAAGCCACATGTATTTTATGAAATGATTTATAGAGTCACTTCAATACTGTCTTTTTAACTTAAAAACACAAGATAATATATTGATGCAAAGCATCAAATTGTCTGCAAATGATCATAATACCCCTGAATCTACATATATGTATGTCTAGTGATGATGCTGATAATTTCTGCAGGCGCAATAGTGGACTCAAAATAAATGTTAACTGTTAAGTATTGAAAATTTATTCTTTTGTCATTTGCACCTGTAGCAAAATCAAAACAAATTCAGAATCAATTTTTCTCTATTTTTTCAAGTACATGTACTGTTATTTTCCAGAAACTTATGATCATATCAAGTTGCTTTTATACATAATACACTCCCATTTAGGGGAGCACTTCTTGTAAAAAAAAATTGTAAAATCATAAATTAATATCTGATTAAAATTGACAAAAAATTGAAATACATTAGTAGCAATAATAAAGACATAATAACATAATATAAAACTATTTCAAAAATTATTTTTCATAACTTTAATGCATGCTATCAAAAGGAAATATTCTGTCTAAACAAGAAAAAATAACACCTTATTTCCCCAAGTGCACTTTTTAACACAACCACAAATAGATCAGCCGCTGCTGTGGCCGATAATGATCCCTATTGATTTTAAAGGGTAAGGATCAAAAGTCAAGGTCACAAACTTGTACATGTATATTATTGTTTCAGATAATATCTAAAATAGACTTTTGACCTAAAGTGGGGACATAAGTTCTCTGAATTAGCTTGTTTGCAATTATTATTATTTTTGGGAGCAGGAAGGGGGATAACCCCTACAAAAATTAAGCTACATGTAGCAATCTATAATTCGATGTATGACAAAGCCTGGAGTAAGAGTGACTGCATGCTTTAAAAAATATTTGACCATCCTTTGAAGCTAATTTTAGCTGAAGAAAATCTATGGTAAACTTTTTTTTCTAAGACTGTAGTAATCAGATTTTGTTTATTTTTCAGTGGTAATGGGAAGATATCCTCATGGGGAGCAGTCATTGGATTTGTGGTAATGATGTCCCTGGATGTTGGTTTAGGATGACCTTATTGTTAATCTTACTGCCAATTAGACAGACTATGAATATATATTTTAAAAAAATGTTTCTAAACTGATGCTGTTAAAATCAGATAGATAACAGTCAGTTTTTCCACTTAGTGACTGTAACTGATATATGGGTGATGGGCATTGAGCATTTTTTATGTGTAAACCAGCAGACCTGAGGAATGGAAGAGGTCTTATTTAAGAGAATGGAACCATCTTTCAAACATCCTTTAGGATGTGATGGATGAGTGTCATTTTCTGAATTAGGCTATGGGGTCTTTTTTGTCTAATTCCCCCAATGATAATAAAAAAATTGTGTTTCACAAACAACAATTTCAGGGATATGTAAAAATGCCAAGCCTGTGGTTGAGCATAAATTGTTAGAATATCCAATTGAGAATGATAAAATACCAGAATTGTAAAATTTGTTACCAATGATATTGTATGGGTTAATCAATCAATGTTATGTTCATGAAAAATTTTATTTTTATCAGTATGTAAATTTTGTTGTTAATAAATATTTTTTTTTTAAGTTTGTGGTATTTTCATGTTTGTGGTATTTTCATGTTTGAATTTTTATACCCTGTATTTTACTAGTCAGTGCATATTGAATGAAAGAAAAACCGTCAGAGGTTTCATCATTATTTGTGGGAAAAAAGTACCATCCTTTTAAAAACTAAGCGGGATTATGCTTGGAGTTTTTGGTGTTGGTTATATATGAGTTTTCAACTCCCACTTAAATTGGACCTGCTACCATTGCCTGTAGCCAGTGCTATATAAAATGTGGCCCTTCAAATTGAAATCTGCTGTATGCTAACTAGATTTGGAGTTCCGTAGCCACAGAGGGATCACAAATATTAAAAAGTCTTTCACATAGGAGATGAGCAAAAATTCTCTACAAATACAAAGCAAAATGAATGTTTCGCGGCTATTAATATTCGCAAGTTAAAGTAGGTCACAAAACTCACGGATATTTCTTGCATGTGAATAAAAGTTGGCTTACAGTATGCGATAGTAAGTTGTCTGTCATCTGTCTAGCTGTTTGTCTTTCTGTGGGTATTTTCCAGCATTATCTCTCATCTGTCTGTAAACAATTTTTCAAAACGCTACTCCTCCTACAGTTTTGGTCTGATTTCAATATAACTTGGCACACAAGTAGACTACACTAAGATACATCATTCTGTGCATCAGTTTTTGATTTTGATGAACAGTGTTGCCATGGTTGCTAAATCAGAAATTTAAAATGCTACTCTTACAGTTTTGGTCTGATTTCAATATAACCTGACACATAAGTAGAATACACTGAAATAAATAAATCAGTGCATCAGTTTTTGATTTTGATGAACAGTGTTGCCATGGTTACTAAAAATAGAAATTCTGTGAAATTCCTTTAAATACCATTCTATCTACTCCTCCAATAGTTTCTGTCTGATTTCAGTATAACCTGGCACACAAGTAGACTACACCAAGATAAATAATTCAGTGCATCATTTTTTTTATTTTGATGAACAGTGTTGCCATGGTAACTAAAAACAGAAATTTCTGTGAAATTCCTTTAAAATGTTACCCTCACACAAGTAGACTTCGCTTAGATACGGTACATAATTCTATTTATCGGTTGATTTTGATGAACAGTCTTGCCATGGTTACTAAAGATAGAAATATCTGTGAAATTCTTTCAAAAGGATAATCTTCCAACAGTTTTAGTTTGATTTCAATATAACTTGCCACAAAAAGAGACTAAACCATCATTCTATTGCTGTTGCATAGTTTCAAGTTCAAGTGCTACTTTTCTCTTCATTTTTATAAGTACAAACAAATAGAGCTACAGTCTTGTCAGAGATTTCTGTTTTATTAAAGAGTGGCAGTTGTCTTACATATCACCAGAAAGGAGAAAATGAGTACTTTAACCATAGGTGAAAAGGTTAGTGCCAAGGTTATGAACTGACAAACTTTTGTATAATTTCAGGGCTGTGCACAAAATCATTGGGCTGGAGAATTTCCCCACCTATAATGACATAATCCTCTGGCTATTCTGGCATTGCCCCCTCAATCCCCACTAGAGGAACCCAAGACACCCTTCTTCTTTTAAAATGTCCCCTTCTATTTCATTTCGGGGATATCCCTGTCTGTGACCAAGATGAAGTCTAGCTCGAGTAGAAATGAATTACCTGGTGTAACATTTTTTGTACTGAGGCAGTAGACAGCCGTTGCTTTCTAAGGTCAAAGTCAGAGTGAGTGTCCTATGTAAATTGAAAAAATTTGGGGACACATGAAATAGCAGTTAACTTTCAATTAATACAGATGATGTATAAAATTCTCGTTTTCACAGCTGTCCACCAGAAGATAGTTGTTAAGGTGAATATGTTGAATCTGCTATTATATGGATGCGACCTTGGCATAATGTACACCCAAAATACAATGAATTGTGCTAAGCTTGAGTAAAAAAAATGATGATATATTGCCTTCTAGGTTGATAAAGAGAAGAACATCTGATTTTGGGGTCACTTGATAAAAGCCATTCTCTGTAATGTCTTGAACTTTTATATAGGAGTTGTGGCACGCATAGTCTCAGAATTTCTCCATATTCCTATGATAAAAGTCTTTGATACTGTAAACTCAAATCAGTTAAAAATTGGTTGCTACTTGTTATGGTTACCATAGCAACATGTCCTAAAATTTGAAAAATGGCATTTTTTAACATGTTCAGAGTCTCACAGTTAACATTTGCAGCAAAGCAAACAAGTGGCAATGACTGTTTCTGAATGGTGAAGGTCTTAAATGCATGATAAACATGTTTGGTAAATCAACTATTACATACATTACTATGGAAACAAAGTATTCAAAAGTAATAATTTTGTTCAATTAATTTTATAAAGTCATACACTTAAGAATAAAAATAATTATAGGTTGAAATGTAAGCAAATAATAGACAAAAGATCCTTGTAACATATACCAAGGATGAAATATGATATTTCTTATAGGTTGGCAATGGTTGCCATGGTTTTAATACCATCAAGGGATTTTAAATTTATTCTCTTAGTATTTTAATCTTAAACCATCTTTTTAAAAAGCATATTTTTATATAACTTATGATCAATTTTTAAAGGCTTTGATGTGACCCTAATTTTCACATTTCAAAAAATTCAAATTCAATTCTTTAAATAGAGCGTTGCTATGGAAATTAGCCGAAAAAATATGCATAAAAATCTAAAAAATATTCCGTTTCCTTGGATACGTACCCTTGTATGTAGATTCTCAAAATTTTTATGATTGATATTTATGAACAACTAACCTGACTTTCAATTTTGACCACCACCCAATCTCTTACTGGATGCAAAAAGCTGGCACAAAGGGTTTAATATTGATGTAAAATTAACAAAATCGAACTTTTTCCCTTCTTGGTAACCGTAGCAACAGTGTTGTATTTTTCAACAAACTTTATCAATATATGAAATTCAACTTTAGTTCTACCAGATAAGTACTATTCAAGGTGTGTCAAATGATATGTTTCTTGATTAAAAGGTAAATAAATTCCTAAGGCAGCAAAAAATATCACTTTAAACAACTGGTACGTTGTTTCCATGGTTACAGTGCAAAGTAACAATTAATCCCAATTTTTCTTATGTTGTCGCTGTTGCAAGGTCATAAGCAGTAACAAATTGAGTCAGACTTGTATATTTGTTGAGATCAAAGAGTTCTACTGTGATTTTTTACATGTCAAAGTTAATCCATTTACATAAGCAGAAGAAAGTCCGGTTCTTTTCACATTATGCAACGACAAATCTCATTTTACAGTCTATTTATAGGTAAATGAACACATAAAACCAATATGAAACCAAACTTTACACTAAAAGCTAGACTTTAGAAATGAAGCAGATTAAATGAAGGATGCAGACATATTATTATCAAGTAATTAAGTGACAAAGTTGAAAGAAATATAAGAATTTATTTAGTAAAATTTAGTAAAAGTTTTTGAACAGAATAATATATTTCTGATAAAACTGGTGTGTGGGCACTATGAACAAGATGTTACATTAGTGTTTGGATAGATTTACAGACAAGCTGGCACAATCCTGCCTACTGATATAGTATTCATTGATAAATTACTGTTTTCATTTCATACTGTAATGAAAACATATTTGCCCCAGATATAAACCAATATATAACAACCATTCTCATTTTATTATTGTACCTTTGATAATTCATTGAATTAATCCACTTATCTTAAAATTTCTGAGAGATATGCATGATACAGTCACGTAGCCTGAACTTAGTTAGTTTCGGTTACATATATAGTTATGGGGGCTATAATAGGGCTCGAGGAATCTGTGAAGTCTTGCAAAGGAATTGGGACACTTATCTTTAAAAAAATCTTTCTATGGTACAGTAGGATTTCAGATAGTCAAAAAAATAATATATACTAGGGCAAATTCAAGTATGAACAAATCATGACTCCAGTTATTGAGATGGGGCCACATTAACATTATACATATATATACAGATCTATGAAAAGGAACAATTAAAAAAAACTTTTCATGAACAGATTTACATTTATAATTGCCAACTGATATACATGAATCCCCGTGAAGTGTAGATTTTGGTTCAAAACATGGTCCTCGGGCCTTTGGTGGGGCCACAGTAGTGACTGAGTAAAATGTGATATGTATCATAGGTATACATACGTGTATGTACATTAACAATTCTTTTTACTAAAAATCTCAAAAGTACAGCTTGAACACTAAAAAAGCTCATGTTTCTAACATCTACACCAATAATAAAACTTGGCATTTATTTTGATCCAGAATTAAAGGTCATGTAAAATATTTTTTTTTGGCAAAATTGACTAGGATTAGACCAAAATCTATTTTGGTCGGGCTCGCTTTTTACTTGACCTATAGCAGCATCAAATATATCACGTGATTTTCGCAAGACGATGATGGATGGCGGGGAACTCAGTTGGAAGAAAGACGTAAATAACGCATTATATTTTCATGTTATTTTATCATTTTATAGAAAGGTATGCCATATTTGAACAAATATACATTGTTTCATTGATGATATTCTAAGTTCTCTTCTCTCAATGTTTAGGGCTACACGCAGACGAAAGTCGATCGTGATTCATTGTTTTTCTCTTGACCATGATGTAACGGCGTAAAGGTCATCAATATAAATACATATTGGTCCAATGAACCCCAAAGAAAAGTTTGCTAGGATAGGTTTGTTGCCATAAGTGAGTTATCATTTCATTTTTCACTACACATGGTATTTTGAATTTTAAAAAAAACTAGTTTTTTGTAACGCCTAACGTTACACACACATGCACACACAAAAATTCATTGAAATTTTGTGAAAAAATTACAAACAAATTTGTATATGATGATGTTATAACATCATGAAACGCAGAATTGTTTGCCTTTTTTTCATAATGACATTTTATCTGTAGGTGTTACAAAAAACGTTGTACATGTATTTTCGTTCAATATATGATATCGTGTAATTTAGTTGTTTTTGTTTTGTTTTCAGGATC